CGGGATGGAGGACGGGGTCGGGAGGGAGGAGGACGGGGTCGGGAGGGAGGACGGGGTTGGGAGGGAGGACGGGGTCGGGATGGAGGACGGGGTCGGGATGGAGGACGGGGCCGGGATGGAGGAGGACGGGGCCGGGATGGAGGACGGGGTTGGGATGGAGGAGGACGGGGTGGGGATGGAGGACGGGGTCGGGATGGAGGATGGGACCCACCGAGGGCGGTGGACACGGACAGCAGGACAGCGCCGGGGACCCAGGCAGAGATGGAGGGTGGACAGAGGAAGAAAGAAAAAAGAAGCCGGGCGCTGGGGCCCCCACCCGTCACCCCAGCCACTCGGGTCGCTGAGATCTGAGGATCCTGGTTCAAGGCCAACCAGGGCAGGAAAGTCCGTGAGACTCTGATCTCCAGTGAACCACAAGAAAACTAGAAGTGGTGCTGTGGCTCAAGGGGTAGAGCGCCAGCCTTGAGCTGAAGGACAGCGCCCAGGCCCTGAGTTCAAGCCCCACAACCACACACACACGCACACACACGCACACACACACACACATGGGCAGAGCGGTAAGAAGGGAGCCGCGCGTATCAGCCATGCAGATGCTCTTGTGGCTGAAGAGAAACAGACGGCTTTTCTTGTCCCGGCACTGGGACTTCAGCTCACAGCCCTGAACACTCGCTCAACTTTGGCCATCCGTGGTGCTCCCCCGCTAGAACCATGCCTCCAGTCCAGGTTTTCTGCGTACCAGTCCTGGGGCTTGAACTCGGGGCCTGGGCGCTGTCCCTGAGCTGCTTTTGCTCAAGGCGGGCGCTCTACCCCTTGAGCCACAGCCACTTCTGGCTTTTTCTGCGTGGTTCATTGGAGATGAGAGACTCACAGACTTTCCCTCCCCGGCTGGCCTCACACTACGATCCTCAGATCTCAGCCTCCTGAGTCGCTGGGGTGACGGGCAGGAGCCACCAGCACCAGGATTGAGGAATTTTTCTTTCTTTAAAAAGAAAAAAATCTAAAGGCTGAACAAACGCAGCCTCTCCACTTTTGGGTGGGGAAGGGAGGGAGACACTGGGAGAGGGAAGGGGAAGAGGGGACAGGGTCCCAAGAGAAATGCAGGGCCTGAGAGGGAGAATTCTCGTCTGCACTGGGGTTCAGAGCCTGGCCCTGAGCCAAGGAAACAGCTGCTTCTGTGCAGGAGGCAAGAGAGAAAGTTCTGGACGGTTCTAGAGGGTTCGAGAAGGTTCAAGATGGAGAGAGTAGACAGGAGAGGGAGAGGGAGGTGGCACTGGGGACAGCTTCTGGAACATTCCCCACCAGCCCACCTGCAGCATGTGGATCATGTCGGTGCAGTTGCGCTGCTGCGCCAGGTCGCAGAGCTTGGCAGTGATGTCGATGCGGCGGCAGATGTCCATGTCCACCTTCATGGCCTTCTCCTGGATCTTGGTGTCCAGCTCGCTCAGGTTCTGCGGGGGACACGCAGGCCACGGGGGCCGCTGGGTGGGCAGAGCCCGGAGCAGCGGGACCGCTCAGCACGCCACCCTCTGACACCTCCTGCGGCCAGTCCCCAGCTCCCGCCTGGCATCCCAGCGACTCAGGAGGCTGAGATCTGAGGATCACAGTTCAAAGCCAGCCCAAGCAGCAAAGTCCCCGACTCTTCCCTCCAACAAACCAACAGAAAAGACAGAAATGGAAGTGTGGTTCAAGTGGTAGAGCGCTAGCCTTGAGTAAAACAGAGCCAGCGCCCAGGCCCTGAGCTCAAGCCCCACGACTGGTACCAAGAGAAAAGCCTTAAGTGCATATTTTTTTTTGGTCCATCATGGGGCCTGAACTCTGGTCCTGGGCGCTGTCCCTCAGCTCTTCAGCGGAAGGCTGGCGCTCTACCCCTTGAGCCACAGCGCCACTTCTGGTTTTCTGGTGTTCAGTGGAGATCAGAGTCTCACAGACCTTCCTGCTGGCCTTGAGCCGCGATCCTCAGATCTCAGCCTCCTGAGTCGCTGGGATGCCAGGCGTGAGCGCCGGCGCCCAGCGCGCCTGTCTTTTTTTCTGCCATCTCACAGATGTAGCCACGGAGGCAGAGGGCATGGTGGTGGGTAAACTGAGTCCGAACAGAGGCATTCAGCTCCGGACTCCTGGGTGCTGAACTGGCAGTGACTAATGTCACACACACCACGGCCCGTCATGCGACGCGGGCCTTTGATTGTGTGTATGTGTGCTGGTACTGGGACTCGAGCGCTCTGGCTTAGCCGGCGCTCGACCACTTGAGCCACACCTCTGAAATCAGAGCTTCTAGGATGTTCCTGCCTAGGTTGGCTTCAATAAGGGATGCTCGGATCTCAGCCTCCAGAGTAGCTGGGATTACAGGCGTGAGCCACCACACGCAAGCTCACACTCACATCTTCTGTTCTTGCTCTGTCTACTGAACTGAATGGCGTCAGGGGTGCCCGGCCAGGGGAAGGGAGGTGGACAGGGCAGCAGTGGGGCTGCCCCCTGCCTGGCTGGGGTTGCTCGAGACCCCCCCGAAGAGCGGGACTCACATTACTCATGAGTCCCTTGAAGATCACCAACTCAGCTTTTAACTGCTCCACCTTCATGGCCAGCTCTTCCTGGCAGGCATCGGCCTCCTGGGCTTCCTGGACCGGAGGAGACCCTGGGTTGGTGACCCCCCTCCAAGGGGAAGAGGGGGTGAGGAGGGGAGGGAGGGGGCGTCCTCACCTCCTGCAGCTCGTTCACGCGCTCCTGCAGCTGGACCCGCACCGTGTATTCCTCTTCCCACCTGACACACAGCAGGGGGGGCACAGGTCCGTGTTCCCTGGGCCCCCCAGCTCCCTGCTCCCCCCCCATGGCTCCCCAAAGGGGGACTGGCTGTCCACAAGAATGTGGGGGCCAAGCCAGCGCCGGTGGCGCACGCCTGTAGTCCCGGCTACTCAGGAAGCTGAGATCTGAGGTTGGAGGTTCAAAGCCGGCCTGGGCAGAAAAGGCCACGAGATTCTGATCTCCCGTGAGCCTGTGAGAAGCTGGAAGTGGCGCTGTGGCACAAGTGGTAGAGCGCCAGCCTGGAGTGAAGAGCTGAGGGACAGCGCCCAGGCCCGGAGTTCAAGTCCCAGGACACACATGCGCGCACGCGCACACACACACACACGCACACACACACGAGGGGCAGCCGCCTGCCTGGAGCCTCTGCCATGTGCAGGAACTATTTTTAAGCGCAGCTGCCCCTCTGGCTCTGCGCCCTGCCCTCCCACCCCGGCCTCAGCACCACCAGCTGTCAGGGGCCCCGTGTCCCCCTCTCTGACCCACACCAGAACACCAGGCCCAGGGGAGGCGGGGGGCCCCTAAGACACGAAGACGGTGAAGATGGTGAGGATGATGGTGATGATTTGGGCCATAGCAAGATTTGAACTCGGGGCCTCATGCTGGCTGGCCAGGAGGCTGAGATCTGAGGATCCACATGTGAGGCCAGACTCCTTCCTATCTCCAGGCAAAAGCACCAGCCTTGAGCCAGAAAGCACAGGGGCAGCACCCAGGCCCTGAGTTCAAGCCCCAGGAGTGACACACACACACACGCACACATACATGGCCAAAGCAGCCACAGAGGTCAGCGAGGGTGCTGGGACCCCGCAGGACGGTGTCCCCTGCCCACACAGGAGGCCCTGCCTTGGCCCCTCCCCGCCTCTCCCTGCCCAGCACCCTGCCCGCTGCTGGTTCTGCTGCGTGTCTCACTCACAGCCGCAATGCAGCTGTCCTAAGAATAGCTGCCGCCGTCACCGGCCGCTCCTCCCTGTGGGGCTGGCAGAGACGCAGCCTGGCCAACACCCCGGGTGCTCGCCCGCAGCGCAGCGCCTGCCTGCAGTCCCCGCCGCCCCCCGCTGCTCTGCCACCCAAGGGCGCAGCAGCATGGGGCGACAGACAGACAGACAGGCTGGCAGGCTGGCAGGCAGACAGACAGACAGACAGACAGTCAGGCAGACAGGCAGGCAAGCGGACGGACAGACAGGCAGGCAGGCAGGCAGACAGACAGACAGACAGGCAGGCAGGCAGACAGACAGACAGGCCAGGCTGGCAGGCAGACAAGCAGACAGAAAGACAGGCAGGCAGACAGACAGACAGACATAAATAGGTAGATAGACAGATAGGTGATAGACAGATAGGCAGGTAGATAGACAGGGAGATGTCCACCCAGACAGACTAAAAGATAAACATACAGCCAGACAGACACACAGGAAGACAAACAGGTAGACCAATAGATAGGTAGATAGACAGGTAGAAAGAAAGACAGGTAGACAGATGGATAGAGAGACAGACAGACAGCTAGGTACATCCATCCATATACACATATATTTTCCTAGATAAAGTCCTGAGCCCCGGGAAGTCTGAGTTTGTTCATCTGTAGGTGAGCTTGCGCCATGGGGTACTCAATTATGCCCAGAGGCCCCCCAAAAACCCTCCCCTGGGGGTGGGGGGCAGCAAGATGGCGGGGTACATCAGATAAGACAGGAAGTCTTTCTCTGGCAGTGAACTCCATGGCTTCAGATGGAAACATACACGAGAAATGCTAATTACGGATGAAGATTAATGAAGTTTTACAGAACAGAAAAGAAAACTCTCAGAATGAATCATCTAGAAGCTCCCTAGGACTTTACCTGGCTCAGGCAGACGGGTTTTCAAACAAAAACAGGTTCACCTCCATTCAAATCAGACTGTGTGTGTGTGTGTGTGTGTACCAGGACTTGAACTCAGGGCTTGGGTGCTGTCTCGTAGGTTTTTCTCCCCACCCCTTGAGCCCCAGCTCCACTTCTTGCTTTTCTTTCATTGGTTTATTAAAGATTAAGTTTGGCAGACCTGGGCTGGGCAGGTGGCTCAGTGGTAGAGCGCTTGCCTCGCTTGCATGAAGCTCTGGGTTCGATTCCTCAGTACCACATACACAGAAAAAGCCAGAAGTGGTGCTGTGGCTCAAGGTAGAGCGCTAGCCTTGAGCAAAAAGAAAGCTCAGGGACAGCGCCCAGGCCCTGAGTTCACACCTCAGGATTGACCAACAACAACAACAAAAAAGTCTCACAGACTTTCCTGCCCAGGCTGGCCTTGGATGCTGATCCTCAAATGTCAGCCTCCTGAGTAGCTGGGATGACGGGCGGGAGCCGCCGACAGTGGGCTAGAAAAGTGGCTTGTTTTCCATCCGAAGTCACTTTGTACCTGTGCAGGACGGGAGCCACGTCTGTGCACTGGGCAGGTACTAAAGGCGTCCCCCGCAGAGCCACTCAGGCCAGCAAGCAGGGCCAGTCCTGTCCTGGAAAAGCTCACACTGGAGATGGAGTTTAGTGCTCAGGCTATCCCAATGCCTGGGGGCCGGAAGGTGGGGGGGGGGCAGCGTGGTTAGGGAGACTGGAAGGAGAGCTGGGGACTTGGGGTGAACACAAGGCCCCCAAACCCCAAGGAATAAATCTCTGTGGCCTTGAACAGCTGCTCCAAGGACAGACGCTCATTCAGTCACAAAATAAACAAATGAGAAAGCCCCAAAGAACAGCTGATCTTTAGTTATGGATGAATTCCAGAACTGTCCATGCGCCCTGTGAATGGCCCTAAGTCCCCCAGAGGCAGGCTGGGCCTGAGTGACACCCCGGTGATGATGGGCTGGGGACAAATGAGCCCCTCCCCCACCAAGGGCAGCCATGACACAAGCCACGTGCAAGGGACCACAAGGGACCAGCATGAGGTAAAACTCAAGCCCAGGAGCCTACGATCTGGGGTCCGGGATCTAGCAGGTTGCTGACCCCAGACCCAACAAGAATGTTCTAGAACATCCAGTCACTCCTCACCCTCCAATGAGAGGCCACAGTAAGTTGAGGGTCGGTGGCTCCCGCCTGTCATCCCAGCCACTCGGGAGGCTGAGATCTGAGGATCACGGTTCAAAGCCAGCCCAGGCAGGAAAGTCCCTGAGACTCTGATCTCCAGTGAACCAGCAAAAAGCCAGATGTGGAACTGTGGTTCGAGGGGTAGAGCACCAGCCTGGAGTGACTGGCCTTGAGTTCAAACCCCAGAACCAACACAAAAAAAGTAGGGGGGTGTCACAGTAGCTGAGAAGAGACTGGAGCCCCCCCAAACCAAAGCCACGGTGACTGTCCCCCACCCCCGCCCCATGAGGCCCCGGCCCTGCCCTGTAGTTATGGATAGGGTGGGCCAGCACCTAGAGGACCCGTGTGGACGGCGAGTCCCCCGTGGAGCGGCCCTTCTCCCCGCCCCTCTACCCCTCCAGAGACCAGATGCCCACTGCGCCCGCGCGCGATCACTACCAAGAAAGGCCCAGAGGTCCTGGGATTCATTCATTCCCTCACTCATTCATTCATTCGAGCTGGCCCTAGAGACTGAACTCGGGGCCTGGGCGCTGTCTCTGAGCTCTTTTTCACTCCAGGCTGGCAATCGACCACTTGAGCCACAGCTCCACGTCCAGCTTTTTGCCGGTTCACTGGAGAGAAGGCTCTCAGGCTTTCCTGAGAAAGTTCACCCAGGCACCTCCGTTTAGGTGCAGCCCGGCCCTCCCCGGCCCCTTCCCCAAAGCCTGGGCCTCGGGCTCTGGGGTCGTGTGTGGAGCTGAGATCCTAAGCTCGCCCCAAGGAGGGAGCGATCGGGGGCCCCAGGCACCCCGAATCCCGGGCCAGCTGGAGGCCGAGGACGGCAGGGAGCCGCCCGGGGTTCCGCGGGGTCCCCCCGGGGCCCCCCGGCCCCTACCTGCGCTTGTACTCGTCGCGCTCGCGCTTCACCTTGGCCAGCACGTTGTAGAGCGCGCGGATCTCGGGGGTGATGGTGTCGATCTGCACGCCCACCCCGTCGGGGTGCTCCCACGCCAGCCCGGGGCCCTGCACGAGCGCGGGCTCCAGGCCCGGGCCGAGGCGGCGGGGCTGCGAGAAGGACCAGATGGTGCCGGGCAGCAGG